AAGTGTTATGCGACATGAGCGTGCACGGCGCTCTGGTACACCTGTCTCATGCTCTACCAGTGACGGCACAGGCTCTTAAACCCTCAACCCAAACGCCCACACTAAGGGCCTCGTTTCTGCCTCGGCAGGACCCACACCGGGGAAGAGTGGATAAGGCGGGGCAGTTCTCTAAATGAGGGTTGAGGGTTTTGGGGTTCAGGGGTTTGGGGATTGAGGTTCCTGTGCCGCACCCTTAAGGACCCCACAAGGACCCTGTTTTTCGAGATCTGTCCGTGTGGGGTTTCGGGTTTAGAGTTTCGGGTGGGTTTACGTACGATGCAGGATTGAGGTTTTCGGTTTTTTCCTCTGTCTATTGTTCAGCCCTTCCCCGCCCATCGTAAGCCTACAGGCACTACGTTCATCCTGAGTTACGAAGGATCCTACAGTCCAGTTTGGTCTTGGGCAGCAGATTCAAAGCCATGAGCCCAAATCGCCCTGTTCAGAAAATTGCCAAGAGTACCCCTTATATCCCTCCAACAGGAAAGGTACCATAGTTACCCTCTATTGACTTAAGAACGCCAAAAGAAATACTGTAGTATCCTGATAAGGAAGTGTTTTTTTGGCATACTTCCCTTTTTTGGCACAAGGTTACCATATGGGTAGACCTAGTGAGCTCCGCGTCGTTCTGACGTGCCTGGCGCGTGAGCTTAATACCAAGCAGAAACTTTTTGGCTACAGGGGCCCACGTACCATAAAAGGTTGGCGTATCCCTAAGTGCTGGTGCATTCACCTCTCTCTCTCTCTCTTTTGAATCGGTGTTTCGTATAAGAACACTATAAGAACCATAATTTCTGACATCACTATACTTGTGGCACTGCCTAGACATGGTGCATTGGCACCTGCACTTCCATGAGAATGCTTAAAGCCGAGCCTGAACCCCAAACACTAAACCCTAAATCCCAAACCCTAAACCCTAAACCCTAAACCCTAAACCCCAAACCCTAAACCCTAAACCCTAGACCCCCGAAAATACCCATCGACTGTAACTTAAAGGTCCCAAGCTTCTCACTCCACGCCAGCCGAAGAGTGTGCCCAAGCCTTTGTAAACCTCGAGGATCCACCAAAAGAATTGGTTTTGCTGCTATTACGTACTATCATATTACGGATACGATTGTTATGGCAATTACTATGATGGCTATGATTTGGATCAGGTACGCGAAGCCCTGTAATTATAGCACCAAAAGCACCTCAAACCCTAAACCCTAAACCCCTAACCCCTAAACCCTAAACCCTAAACCCTAAACCCTAAACCCTAAACCCTAAACCCCTCTGCGAAAAGCACAGGCTCAAAGCAGTGCCGGAGCAAAGCAACCTTCGGCGGAGCCGGCTCACCGGATGTGCAGAAGTACCCGGTCAGGGTACCACGGGTTTAGGGTTTAGGGTTTAGGGTTTAGGGTTTAGGGTTTGGGTTTTAGGGTTTAGGGTTTAGGGTTTCGGGTCTCTGAGGACACGTGTTTTTTCCAAAAGGCAGCGCAGGTCATTCGTGACTTCGACAAGCAGCCCAGACGTGGCAGTTTGCCATTGAATGGCTTCACAGTTCCAACTCAAGAGATGTGCAGTTGAACTGTGCATCTTCAGTAGTCTGGGGTTCGGGTTTAGGGTTGAGGGCTTAGGCCTGCTCAGTGCTCCTCTGAAGTCTTCAGTGTTGAGGGTTTCGTGCAGTCAGGGTGCTACACTGTACTAGGGCGATGGAACCCTAAACCCTAAACCCTAAACCCTAAACCCTAAACCCTAAACCCTAAACCCTAAACCCTAAACCCTAAACCCTAAACCCTAAACCCTAAACCCTAAACCCTAAACCCTAAACCCTAAACCCTTTGCCAAGCAAAAAAAACCTGCCGTACAACACGGCATTCATCGATGTACTGATGCAAGCCGCTTCGGCGAGCGCCAGACGTGCTTGCTCTTGGATGAGTACCCTAAGGGTCCGTCCATGTACCCATATAGTACATATTTGGGCCCTAAAGCTACTGTATAGGAACCCCTTTAAGGCCCAAGTAGATACTTTATGGGTACATGGACCCTTTGGGCTATGGCCGACTGCCCGTGATCTGGCAGCTGCAGCATGACAGACTTTGCGCTGTGGTGTAGGGCTTTGGGTTTAGGGTTACCCTAAACCCTAAACCCTAAACCCTAAACCCTAAACCCTAAACCCTAAACCCTAAACCCTAAACCCTAAACCCTAAACCCTAAACCCCCCAACCCCACCCACCTTTGCATAGGAAGGTGACCATGTTGAGCCCGAGATTTTCTGCGTTTGAAGATCCTTCTCTGAAGTTTTACACCCTAAACCCTAAACCCTAAGCCCTAAACCCTAAACCCTAAACCCTAAACCCTAAACCCTAAACCCTAAACCCTAAACCCTAAACCCTAAACCCTAAACCAAGGCAGCGGAACATCACATTAGAGGTTAGATGTGCACATGGAGTGATGTGGCTGCAGGTGAAAAAACTTCAGCATGTTTGGCCTTTACTAGAGCGCATTGCACGCATAGATCCAAGATGGCCTGGGCTCCACATATACCTTCACAGGGATTACAGTTCAGTAGTGCTGGACCCTCAAACCCAAACCCTAAACCCTCAACCCAAAGTATCAAGTCCCAAAACGGTCGAGCGGCGGTAGTAGGATTTAGGTTTGGGGGTTTAGGGTTTAGGGTTTAGGGTTTAGGAGTCCCGCGCTCCCCCTAACTCCTACATTACTAAACCCAAAACCCCAAATCCCCAAAAACCCCAAAACTCCCAAAGCTCCCAAAACCCCAAAACCATCCAACGCCCAATCACACGAGGCAGCTCACAGATCCGGGTGCTGGTTTTTTGTTCCCGAGGATTTGGGCCGGGCTTCCTTTCACAGAAGCGGAGAAGATTCGTGGACTACGACGAATTGTTCACAGGGTTCAGGGTTTAGGGTTTAGGGTTTCGGGTTTAGGGTTTGAGGTTCAAGGTTTAGGGTTTATGAGTTTAGGGTTTAGGGCTACTGAGGATCCGCTTGTGCAAGCTTTTTTTTCCTGGGTTTGGGTAGTTCTCTACATCAGGCGGTTCCCTACGTGGGGCCTTATATAGTACGGCACCTTATACAAACGACCCCCGCACAAGAGACCCCGATTTCGAGGACTATCAATTTGTTGTACCCCAAGCCTTGTTACCGCGGAGTGGCCAAACCCTCAACCCTAAATCCTAAACCCCAAACCCTAAACCTTAAACCCTAAACGGTAAACCTGGGAATTTCAGGCTGAGGTTGGCAGCGTCTTTGGCCATGAAATGGAACCCCAAACCATCAGACTTTAGGGTTCAGGGTTTAGGGTTTAGGGTATAAAGGCCGGTGGCCTCTTGCTCTGTTACCCTTATACCTTAATAATAGCCCCTGGATACCCTAATAAGAACCCTGCACAGGCCTATTTAAAGAGACCACCAACCAATATGAGGTTTAGGGTAGAGGGAAATGCAAGATACGCAAGAGAGAAGGGCTAGATGTGTGCCTTGAGGTTGAGGTTCAACCTTTTATGATCGAAGTTTGCTGCAGGATGTAGATATAAAGGGTTTAGTGCTTAAGGTTACGGGTTTAGGGTTTAGGGTTTGGGGTTTAGGGTTTAGGGTTTGGGGTTAGGGTTCAGGGTTTAGGGTTTGGGGTGTGGGGTTAAGGGTTAAGGGTTTAGGGATAAACCTTGACATCCCGGATCTTCGGCGGATCCCAGATCTGGCGTTGGACACCCCAAAGAAAGGCGTCCAAGAAAACGACGTGAAGTCTCGGCGTTTGCCGCTGAAAAGTGCCGCTCTCATGAGTCTGGAAAGGGGGTTTCAGGGCTTCCCACCCGAAACCCTATGCCCCTCAGAGCCCAACCCCTGTCGACTGTACACCCTAAACCCTATACCCTAAACCCTAAACCCTAAACCCTAAACCCTAAACCCTAAACCCTAAACCCTAAACCCTAAACCCTAAACCCTAAACCCTAAACACTAACCCCTAAACCCTAAACCCTAAACCCTAAACCCTAAACCCTAAACCCTAAACCCTAAACCCTAAACCCTAAACCCTAAACCCTAAACCCTAAACCCTAAACCCTAAACCCTAAACCCTAAACCCTAAACCCTAAACCCTAAACCCAAACCCTAAACCCTAAACCCTATAGGGTATCAAGTAACCTGCTAAACCTTAATCCCTAACCCCCGAAGTAGATCGAAGCTTGCCGAGCTTGAACGTCAAGGCCCCGCAGGAGAGGGGCCAGAAACTGTAGTGACATCCACTTGCTGGCGGGATGCATGAGCCCATGATCAAATGTAATATCTTATTAATTATGAGTATGTATGTATATATATATAGTAGAAAAAGCTAGATTTAATTGATAACACTCTAGTGAGTCAACTTCGGATTTCTACGGTTGTGGCAGGCACAGTGTAAGGTCGGGGACTCCAGTAGGCCAAGAATTCGACTTAGGCTGTTACCCGATCATGGGGTGCTGTGATTGCAGGTGATGCGGCTTTCTGGCAGCATTTGGCTCAAGAGGATCCATTCCAGGAGTGCGTGGGGCAAGACACAGATGTGGCAGAAGCCTTCTTCATACCGCTACACATACATGCCCACTCTTGGGGTGACATTTGTGCAACAAATACCATTGAGCAGCAGATCTCTTCGAAGACTTTGGCAGCTCATTTGTCCGTGTTCCTGAGCAGGCTGGCACCAGGCACACTTGCAAGGGTGTAGGAGCCCCTACACCCCTTGCCATGAACCCTAAGCCCTCTGGATTTCGGCACGCGCGTGGGGATGAAGCATCCGGTAGCTTTTGTCTAAACCCTAAACCCTAACGCCCTAAATCCCAAACCCTACACCCCAAACCCTAAACCCTTAACCCTAAACCCTAAACCCTAATCCCTAATCCCTAAACCCTAAACCCTAAACCCTAAACCCTTCCAACGTTACACCTATTTCCTGGATCGCGGCCGCAAGCTCCACTCTGCAAGGCGGACATGCCGCTGGACTTGGCATCAGCTGGGCACTGACTGGACAGGGTTCGGGGTTTAGGGTTTAGGGTTTAGGGTTTAGGGTTTAGGGTTCAGGGTTCAGGGTTCAGGGTTCAGGGTTCAGGGTTCAGGGTTCAGGGTTCAGGGTTCAGGGTTTGGGGGCTTGGGGTTTCGGGTTTAGGGGTCAGGGCCCAAACCCCAAACCACAAACCCCCAGACCCTAAACCTCACACCCGAAAACCCCAAACCCCAAACCCCAATCCCCAAACCCCAAACCCCAAAACCCAGAACCCAAACCCCAAGCCCTAGACCCTAAACCCTATTCGGGCCCAGGTGTCGGCGCAGCTCGAGCTCAATGACATCCCAGAGAGCGCTCACGAGCCAGAGCCCTTCCACTTCTGGGACTTTTGGTTTCGGGTTTAGGGTTTAAGGTTTAGGGTTTAGGGTTTAGGTTTAGGGTTTAGGTTTGGGGTTTGGGGGTTTAGGGGTTTAGGGTTTAGGGTTTGGGGTTTATGGTTTGATGTTTGGGGTTTAGGCCGGGTAAAGGGCATAGGGCCGCCATTTCCCCTAAACCTCACACCCTAAAATCACAAACCCTCAACACATGTGGTTCAGGCCTCCCCTCAGCCGGGTACACGATAAGAATCTGAGAGCATGGAATACCTTGGTGACGCAGTTAGGGTTTAGGCCCCCACCCCCATCTCGGAAAGCTGTCCAATCCCCAATCCCACACCCCCAAACCCTAAACCTGAAACCCCTAAACCCTTCACTCAGGGCCTAGGCCGCCCCGGGGTCGGCCCCAGCCTAGGGGGTCCTGGACCCCTCACCCTGGCCCCCCCTGGCCCGGTTCCTGGCCTGCTGGCCCCGCCCCCTGACTACCCACAGCCTCGGCCTGGTCCCTGACTTTGGCCTTGCTGCAACCCTGCCTGAAACTGCCTCCCGACCCCAATTCCTTTGACTCTCGGACCCAACGAACGTCATGAAACTGAATAAGTTTTTAGAAGTGGGCTGTTGTCTGAGTTTAGGCCTAAACCCTAAAAGGAATTGGTTTGGGTGGCTCTGCCGCCTTGGACGGCGTGGGGTGGGAGACAAGTGTTGGATGGCCCTCCACAATCGGGCCAAAGCTTGTCCCGAAACCTAACCTTCACGGCATCTACGCCCTATCACAGCAAACCCTAAACCCTAAACCCTAAACCCTAAACCCTAAACCCTAAACCCTAAACCCTAAACCCTACACCCGGCTTAAGGCTTAGGGTTTAGGGAGACAGGCCCGGTCCTGGGCATTACTTCGGCCCCGACAGCCAGGGCTTCAATGCGCCCGGCTGCCAAGCGGAGCTTTCTTGGCTTTGGGGACTTCTTTAGGGTTTCGGGTTTAGGGTTTAGGGTTTAGGGTTTCGGGTTTCGGGTTTAGGTTTCAGTGTTTAGGGCTGAGTTGGGATTCTCGTGGGCTTGGTGGTTTACAGGATTGAGGGCTCGTCGCAACGATATCCTGAACTCTAAAACGCCGAAACCCTAAGACTCTAGAGCCTAAACCCTGAAACCCAAAACCCTAAACACTAAACCCCAAACCCTAAACCCTAACTCGAAGTTGATGGGCTCTTCTGTTCAGATGCTGAGGCTACGATGCCTGTTAAGGTACTGAGACAATCAAATCATGGGGCTTAGGAAGAAGGGTCCTCCCACTGAGCCCTTCTCGCCGGTGGTGTAGTGGGAAAGGTTAACCCCATCAGGGTTTAGGGTTTAGGGTTTAGGGTTTAGGGTTTAGGGTTTAGGGTTTAGGGTTTAGGGTTTAGGGTTTAGGGTTTAGGGTTTAGGGTTTAGGGTTTAGGGTTTAGGGTTTAGGGTTTAGGGTTTAGGGTTTAGGATGTGCCTGCCCTTCCCTTACTCGATTCCGTTCAGACCTGGTGTTTGAAGGCATCTGCCTTTCTAGTTTGGATCTGGAGCATCCGGTTACACTCTTCCGGACCCCAAGCCCTAAGCCCTTAACGTGGAAGATAAGATTTATCAATGGGTTTGAGGTTTTGAGTTCGGAGTTGTGTTCGGGCTTGGTTTTGCAGAGTACAAATACTTCACCTAGCATAGGCCCTGATTCCTTTTATGGGGGCTTTTTTGGCGGGGGAGGGGAGGGTTTGGGTTCCCTTCCTTAGACACTTGAAACCAAAAAGGGCACCGGTTTTCTGCGGACGATTGCGTCACCTAGCCTCAAGGCCTCAAATTCGGGGCCAGGAACAACACACAAACATGAGGATCCTACTATCGAGGTAGAACGGGGATTCCGGAAAGCCATGTTTGTAGAATCCCTGAACCTTGAACCCTAATCCCTAAGCCCTAAACCCCAAACCCTAAACCCTAAACTCGAAACCCTGAAACCCTAAACCCTAGGTGTTTTGGGCCCCTATGAAAAGCATTGGCAGGCTCGGAAAGCAGATGTTCAGCAAGTGCCGGTCGGTGCCGGGCCGACATCAGCTGGAGCTTTTACAGTTTGGAGCTGGGTTTACATATGGTTCATAAGGTTTAAGGCTTAGGGTTAGGGTTTAGGGTTTAGGGTTTAGGGTTTAGGGTTTAGGGTTTAGGGTTTAGGGTTTAGGGTTTAGGGTTTAGGGTTTAGGGTTTAGGGTTTAGGGTTTAGGGTTTAGGGTTTAGGGTTTAGGGTTTAGGGTTTAGGGTTTAGGGTTTAGGGTTTAGGGTTTAGGGTCTAGGGTCTAGGGTCTAGGGTCTAGGGTTTAGGGTTTAGGGTTTAGGGTTTGGTTGAGATTCGGGGTTCTCGGGATGGGGGTGCAGGGTGCAGGCTTGTGTCTGCGCTCCCCCACGGCGCACGCTTTCGCATAGAGCGCCAGCTAACCCTACACCCTGACAGTTCGGGCGCAGCATGTGCGGGGGGTGATGCACCCTAGACCTTCAAACCCTAAAAGCTGAGACCATATCATAAAACCCTAAAGCCATCATTTTTTAAGACCCTAAACCTTCCTTGTCGGGGGTACTTCTTCATGGCCCTTAAATACTTCACGGTTCAGGATTTAGGGTTCAGGGTTTGGGACTGGGGTTTTGGCTTTAGGGCTTTTTCCCGAGTGAGGTACCGTGCTGTTATGTCCATCAGTTGGGTAGGTCGGGTAGGTATATAAAGGATCCCAAGGTCCGAGCTCCTGGCCCGAATGCCGATCTGCCACCTTGGTGAGATCCCACGCACCCGAACTATCAGGTTTTAGGGCTCAGTTCTTTTGTTTTCTGTTTTTGTATATTTTATTGTTTTGTTGTTTTTTTTTTTTTTGGGGGGGGGGGGGGGTGGGGGGTGGAGAAGTTCCTTCTCTGTGCCCAGGCGCCTGAGATCAGTCTGCCTCGAACAGGCGCGGGGCAAGGGACAACTTAGACTTGAAGGTTAGTGTGTAGGGCTTCGGGCTTAGGGCTTTAGGTTATCGGTTTTAGGGTTAATGTCTTACCTTAGCCTATATGATGTGAGCTTTAAACTTGTTGGGCTTCCTTATTTTAAGTAGGATCTGATTGCTGGAGAAGTTTCAACTGGGGCTGCAAGCAGGGGACCTGTTAGTGGCAGGTGGTTATAACACTTTTTGGGCCAATGAACCCTCTATCGAATCAACAACCCTAAACTCCAATCCCTACACCCTGCTTGCAACCACCCTTGAACTTCACGTGGCTGCCAGAGCAGCACGCCTTCCGCAGAATGTTTCAACTAAGACCTTGTGCCTTTTATAAAACGGCAAAAGGATTCCAGTACTTATGGCGCGCTTGCCTTTCTTAAAAGGATAAAGGTTACTCCAAGCCAACCCCCATCAAGCCACAAGACTGCTACCCTTCCCTACAAAGCGTATTTGTAATGTAGGTCACAAGACCGAACTAGAATACCTGAACCCTAAACCTTAAAATCCCCCAACAATCCATGCAAACCGGGGGGGGGGGGGGGAGGGGGGCGCGGGGGGGGGGGGGGGCGCGGGGGGGGGGGGGGGCGGGGGGGGGGCGGGGGGGGCGGGGGGGGGGCGGGGGGGGGGCGGGGGGGGCGGGGGGGGGCGGGGGGGGGGGGGGGGGGGGGGGGGGGGGGGGGCGGGGGGGGGGGGGCGGGGGGGGGGGGGGGGGGTGGGGGGGGGGGGGGTGGGGGGGGTTACCAGGCATTGTTCACCTTCCAGCGCTCTCTTTCCTAGAGGCACGTCAAAGTGTTACCCAGACTGTAGGTATCTGGTTTTTGGGCTTTTGTTTAGGGTTTTAGGGCTTGAGGGTTTGTGTTATTTCGTGTTTGCCTCTCAAGCAGGCTGGGACGAATGGCAGAAGGTGACAGTTTCGAAGGCTTCGCAAGGCCTGCATGTGTCAGGGTTTTGGGGCGCTTCGGGACTTTAACAGTTTAAAACAGTGCGTCGAGGGGTTTAGGGGTTTGGGGTGGAGACCCTAAACCCCCAAAACCCTAAACCCCTAAACCTCCAAACCCCTAAACCTAAACCCTACACCCTAAACCCTAAACGCTAAACCCTCAACCCTAAACCCTAAACCCTAAACCGCAAAGCAATCTCCCAGCCCAGCTGCCAAAATCCCAGGCCCCCAAGTAGCCAGATTATCGTCCAGGGCCACAGGGCCAGGTGGTGTGGGTTTGAGGTTAAGTTGTCCCCCTTTTTGTTAAGTTTTTTTTGTGTGTGTGGGGGGGGGGGGGGTGGTTAGAGGGCTTCGGGTTTGTTCAAGGTTTGGGGTTTGACTCACCTTGTACTTCTGAATAACGGGTTTTAGGTTTAGGTCTCAGAGTGTAGGGTGTAGGGCTAAACCCCAGGGTGAGTACTTGGGTTGAACTAGAGTAAACCTTGTACTTTTGAATGAAGGGTTTAGGGTGCAGGGTGTAGGGTTTAGGGTTAATTAGGGTTTCGACAGTAACTGAGGCACACTTCCCCTGTTTAAGGGTCACAAGGTTCCTGCAGGTAGAGCTGCTGAGGTGTCGAGCAGACATCCGAAACCCCCTTCACAAATCCTTCAGGTTTAGCGTTTCAGGGTTTCGTCTAACCCTAAACCCCAAACCCCAAACCCCAAACCCTAAACCCTAAACCGCTCGGAGTGTGTCGGGTCTATAGCCCCCCCCCCCTTGACCCAGGCACGAGCTTGGGCCGAGAGTCTCCGAGCTGCGCCTATACCGCACGCACCCGAGCGCGGGAATTTTGTTGAAGCTTGAGCCCCCTCCAAACCCCAAACGCGAAGACCCCAAACCCTAAACCCCAAACCCCTAAACCCCTGAACCCTGAACCCTGAACCCTAAACCCTAAACCCTAAACCCCAAACCCTAAGCCCCTGCTTCGGGTGGAAGGAACCTAGGCACAGGAGGATCAGAACATGTGGGGGGGGGGGGGGGCTTAGCTTCTCACTCGGCGGCATGAACGTCGCATGCTCCATCATGTTAGTCTCCTTGGTCTCCGCGCGATGAATGGTTTTCGGGTTTAGGTTTTAGGGTTCAGGATTTAGGGTTTAGGGTTTAGGGTGTAGGGCTCTCCTATTTCTCATGTGTGGGCATCTCCGCCAAGCACAGCTCTTCTGATCAACCGAACCCACCCTCCCCTTAACAGAGATCACAGCGTAGCCTCACGCTAGCCACCCTCGCGCACACACAAGCACACGTGACACAACCCAGGTCCCTGACTGGGCCCTTATTCCCTTTTGTGTTCGGGTTGCGGGTCCATTAAACCAAAAACGGCACCCTTTTTTTCATAGGCAATGAATGTTGGGTCTAGCAACATAAAGGCCCCCCCGAAAACTGTTTGATGTAACCTCGGCCGGCTAACCTCGAAGAAAGAGAAAGCGTTGCCCTTGGCCAATCTGTGCAACTAAGAAGCTTTCGAGGTTTTGGGTTTAGGTGGTTTAAGGTTTATCAAATATGTGCAAGCTCCATCAAATTCACGCGCGAATCAGGGGGGAGTCGTCATGGGTTACATTTCCACGAAGTGCTAGATCAAGTCCCCCAAGCGCCATAATAGGCAGCCCAGTCCACCTGAATCCTGTCATTTCTTGGGTTGGGGGGTTGGGGTTTGGGGTTTAGGGTTTAATCCCTTCCCCCTTGTATTAAACACACCCCTGATTTATAAAACACGTTTCGGAAAACTCAGGGCTTATATAAAACCTTCAAGCCAATCTAAACTTTATCCCAAAAGTAACAGATGGCATATGGATGAAAAAAGCATCCCCCCAATATAATAAAAAAAAACACACATTTCGGGTTTCTGTGGGGGGCGGGGGGGGGGGGGGGGGCGGGGGGGGGGGGGGGGTGTTTAAAATAGGGGGAAGGGATTAGGGTTTGGGTTTAGGGTACTCTGCAGCCCCAAAATACAGCCAAATTCGGCATTCACATGGACCTCATGAAAGAGTATATAACCCCAAGTTTTCAACTCATCTTCCCAAGTACGCTTTAAGATACGCTAGGTACACAAAATAACTTACCTCAGACAACACCCAAGGCACCAAACCCGAAACCTGGAACCTGATCACAACGAGCCCCCAGGTACTGAACCCTCTACCAGGGTTTGGGATTTAGGGGGTGTGGGGGGTTTAGGTGCTTTAGGGTTTAGGGCTGAGGCTTGCTTTAGGGTTTCGATACTTTGAGGCCCAAAGCCCCAAATCCCTTGAGCCCTGAAGCTCAGCAACCTTCCGCCCGCAACCTAAGCCCAAACGACCCCGGGTTTAGGGTTTGGGGTTTAGGGTTTAGGGTTTAGGGTTCAGGGTTCAGGGTTTAGGGCTTAGGGCTTAGGGCTTAGGGTTTAGGAAGCCTAAACCGTAAACCCTCAAAAACCAGAAAACGGCCACGTCCCTCTAAATCTTCGAGGTCCCCTCCACGCTCGACGGCCACGCGCCAAAGGTGGGCACCTCGCTGAGGCCGTGGAGCAGGGTTTAGGGTTTAGGGTTTCGGGTTTGGGGTTTAGGGTTTAGGGTTTTGGGGTTTAGGGGCTTTGGGTTTTGGGTTTAGGGGCTTAGGGTTCAGGGTTTAGGGGTTGAAAGGAGGTTTAGGGGTTGAAAGGGGGTGTAGGGTCTAGGAGGTAGACTTCGGGGTTGCAGGGTTTAGGGTGGAGGGGATGAGGGGTTTTCGTTTTGGAGGCCTCGTTGAGTCCGAGAATTAAGGGTCGAGGGGAAGACGAGGAAGAAGAGCCGACAACACGGAAGAACCCGAACGCCAAAATTCCGTAAGACACTGTGCTTGGGAAACGCTAAACCCTAAACCCAGAACCCGAAACCCTAAACCCAGAACCCTAAACCCTAAACCTTAAACCCTAAACCCTAAACCCACAGAACCCTAGGCTGCTCTGGGCTTGAGGCCCACGACAATAAGTCCACCCATGAGCCTTTCAAGCATGATGGGCATTGGCAGCTCCCCCCTAAACCCTAAACCCTAAACCCTAAACCCTAAACTCTAAAAGGGCCATCTTTGCAGGATCCGGGATAGCAGGAGTAGGGCTTCAGCAGGGTTACGGCTAGGGTTTTTGGGGCTAAGGCGCTGCGAGGTTTAGGCATTGCAGTTGTGCTGGGCCAGAGAACTGGCCCTAACCCTAAACAACCCAAACCCTAAGAACCTTAAAGCCTGGAAAAAAACTAAATCCTAAATCCTAAATCCTAAACCCCAAACCCTAAACCCTAAACCCTAAACCCCAAACCCTAAACCCTAAACCGGCGTGGTAGTTCGGGGAGTGGTAGTTCCGGTAGGCCTTCTCTGGGTTGTGCCTGATAGGGGTCAGACTATTCCCCGAACCCCGAAGCCGAAGCCCCTCTTCGCCCGACCCGAGCTGCGTCCTTCTTGCGGTTTGGGGTTTAGGGTTTAGGGCTTTAGGGTTTAGGGTTTAGGGTTTAGTGTTTAGGGTTTGCATGACCGATTCCGATATGGGCTCATATCCCTAAGCCCAAAACACTAAACACAAACGCTTACACCCCTAGACCCTAAACCTTGGGTTGTTGCCCCTTATACGAACAGTCCTTAGTAGGGATGTCAGCAAAAGGGGGGAACATCCCAACCTGAACCCCGAAACGCCTAAGCCCCCAAAACCCTAAACCCTAAACCCTAAACCTTATAAACCCTAAACCCTAAACCCTAAACTCTAAACCCTAAACCCTAAACCCTAAACCCTAAACCTTTGAGAGCTGGCCCTTAACGAGAAGAACCCCTGAGTCCTAAACCCTGGGTGGGGCCCTGAGCCGCCCTAAACCCCATAAAGGGTTTAGGGTTTAGGGTTTAGGGTTTAGGGTTTAGCATTCATAAGCCCTAAACTCCCCAGCCTCCAATGAGAAGGCCAGACTTGGCAGCCTCCCTGGGCGTAGACCCGCACGGGTCGCCTGGGCCGATGCGACCTCCCGCCAATGCAGGGGGTTTAGGGTTTAGGGTTTAGGGTTTCGTAGGGTTTAGGGTTTAGGGTTTAGGGTTGAGGGTTTCGTAGGGTGTAGGGTTTAGGGTTTAGGGTTCAGGGTTTAGGGTTTAGGGTCGTAGGGCGTTTTCTAAGTCTCTTGGGATAGTCTACATTTTCCCTTCTTGGCTGGGCTTAAGAGAGATCACATTGAGTCATTGAGGAACATCTTTAAACATAGTAAGGGACAATATGTCGCGTTTTGTCCTGAGTGGGTGTTTAAGGGCCAACCTAGTGTGGAGGGCTCTTTGTTGCTTTAGGACTTTTAGGGTTAAGGGCCTTTGAGGGTTGTAGGTTGTTAGGGTTTCGGGTTTTATTTTAGGGTTTGCGTTTTGGCTACATGGACCCCCTGAGGCTCAAAGCCCCATAAGCACCTGCAGGCTTTCCGGGGTTTTGATCATCTGTTTGGGGTTTAGGGTTTAGGGTTTAGGTTTTAGGGTTTAGGGTTTAGGGTTTACCCTGCCCCCCCCCCCCCCCCCCATGAGTCCCAAGCACTTGTATGACCTTACGGTCCAGAATGTGTGCATGTAACCCCCGCCACGCTGTGCAGTAGACCAGAAATCCAGAATCCACAGCCCTAACCCAATCAAACCCGAAGGCTGTGTGGTAGACCCCTTACTTTCGAAACCCTAAACCCTAAACCCTAACTAAACCCTAAGCCCTAAGCCCTAAACCCTTCTCTGGTCTTCGCTTTGCAATGCCGTTCGAGCTCTAAACCCTCCATGAGGGGCTCCTGGCAAGCCCTGGGGGTCCACTAGTACTGTCACTGTGGATTGAAGGGTAGGGTTTAGGGTTTAGGGTTTAGAGTTTAGAGTTTAGGGTTTAGGGTTTAGGGTTTAGGGTCTAGGGTCTAGGGTTTCGGGTTTAGGGTTTATAGGGTTTAGGGAGTTTAGGGAGTTTAGGGTTCAGGGTTTAGGGTTTAGGGAGGTGCCCCCAAACCCTGTGCACTGCTGCTTCGGTCAATTACACAAGTCCGCACTTGAAGTACAAACCCTTAGGGTCCATGGACCGTCTGGGAAGAGGTACAACATTCGAGACAGTGCCATGATGCAGCTCGGAATTGATTCTCGGCCAGAAGTACATGTGGGGGGTTCACGAAAATTCGGGGGCCTTCAATATAGACCCCCCAAGAGTAGGATTCCCTTATAATCAAGACCCCAGGAAGGTAACCTCTAATTTCGGGAACGCCCCCCCCAATGGGGTTGTGCCAGCAGGCTGTTGGGAATGGAGCTTAGGAGCAAGTACGTGTATGCACTCAGTCCGAGGTAAGACTCTTGCCCTTCGAGGTCTAAACTTGAAACCCCACATGGCTTTCGAAGCAACTGATGCCATAATATCAACTCTCAAGAACTTCTTGACGCCCAAAGACCCCTGCAACCACCCAAAGTCCCGCAACATTTGCGAACCGCAGACACAAAGCCCTCAGCGACATGAAGCCGCAGCCACGCAACCCTAAACCCTAAACCCTAAACCCTAAACCCTAAACCCTAAACCCTAAACCCTAAACCTAAACCCTAGACACAGGGCCGGATCGTCAAGAACCGAGAGAACAAGAGCTTCGGCTGTGCGGAGCGGTTTCGAGTAGATGGCAGGCCCCATGGGTGACATTGGGCAGCGGCCTAGAGTTTAGGGTTTAGGGTGCAGGGTTTAGGGTTCAGGGTTTAGGATTTAGGGTTTAGGGTTTAGGACCCCGCCCTTACCCCTTTTTGTTCGTAGTTCAATCCGGTCAGCTGGGCCACATGGGAGGTTCTCAAGTTATGCTTTGAGGCTCCGGTTACGAATCGGGGCCTTATATACATAGGGTACGAATCCCCTCCAAAAGTCCGAATGTGTCGATGTGCTCGTACGTCCACCCAATAATATGCTTGAAGCGCATCTGGGGTAACCTATACATCTTTAGAAGGGGAAAAGGGTCCGAGGGTTTAGGGTTTGGGTTTCCTTTGTCTTCGGGGCACATAAAGTCTGCAGGTCACTCTTGGCAAGAGCTTACTTAGTGCAGTCCTGGGGTTCAACCCTAAACCCTAAAACCCTAAAAACCCTAGACCCTAAACCCTAAACCCTAAACGCTTGAAAGAAGGCAAGGGGAACATATGAAGGGTTCTGAGCCACATGTTGCAGGGGCACCAGCATTGGCCCCGGACAGTACCGCCGGAAGGACTTTGCGCGGGGGCCCCATGAGGATGATTCTCTTTTTTTTTCTTTTTTTTTCAGGGGGGGGGGGGGGGGTTGTTCTGAAGCACATAGAAGTATAGGTACCCGGTACCCAATGTAGTCATGACAGAGGTATGAGAAGTAAGACCATGGGAGTGCAACTTAGGTTCGGGAGGTGGGGGGGCTATCACGGGACTCTCCCTTGAAACCCTAAGAGTGGTAGTCTTGGGAGGTTTAGGGTTTAGGGTTTAGGGTTTAGGGTAAGAGTGGTAATCTTGGGAGTGGTGGCCTCTATAAGGGAATATGAAGGGGCATATTCGGAGTATAGGGAGCCTCCTAGAGGGGTACATCCTTGGGGGTCCGAGTAGAACTTGCTTGACAGGTTATTCCTCCTTCTCCTACAGTCCTACCACCCTCTGCTGTTGCTTCAGAACTTCAGCAGGTTGAGTCCTGGGGCTTAAGCCCGCCAAACCCCCAAACCCCTAAACCCCAAGCCCCTAAACCCCCCAAGCCCCCCACACCCTAAAACAAAAACTAGAGCCCTACCCCCCTAAATCCCCCAGATCCCGAAACAATTCAATCCCTAAAACCCAAAGTCCTAAGCCCAAAACCCTAAACCCCAAACCCCAAACCCCAAACCCCAAACCCTAAACCCTAAACCCTAAACCCTAAACCCTAGCCCTAAACCCTCAACCTTCAAGCCACTACGTTGCCCCAGGCTGAGAGGAGACAACGGCCGATCCATCGGCACGGGGCGGCAAGCCTGGGAAAAGGCGGGGTTTAGGGTTTAGGGTTTAGGGTTTAGGGTTTAGGGTTTAGGGTTTAGGGTTTAGGGTTTAGGGTTTAGGGTTTAGGGTTTAGGGCTTCGGGTTTAGGATTTGGGGTTTAGGGTTTAGGGTTTTGGGGCTTATTGGGCTTCAGATTCCGGCTGTCCTGGGATTCATGCCTGGACTCAGGGTTTTACAGGTTGAGGGGTTGAGGGTGTTTAGGGTTTAGGGTTTAGGGTTTTAGGGGATCAGGGTTTAGGGTTGAGGGCTGTAGGGCTTTCGGGTTGAGGGTCGAAGATGAAGGTGTTGCAAGCATTTTTGCCTTTGATCGCGACGGGGTGTGGGTGATTGACAGAAAATGCCCAGAGAGAGCCCATTGCCCCATGTTTAGGGAACCTTCTGCCCCCCTAAACCCTAAACCCTAAACCCTGGACCTCGGCTCGACTGTGAGCTTGTGGTGTTTTTGACCTCCCAACTGCAGCTCCTCCTCCTGGACTTCTGGGCTGATAGGCTTTAAGGATTTTGGGGTTTAGGGTTAAGGGCTTAGGGTTCCACCTGTATATCAAAACCATGAGATTGAGGTATCCATGAAAAGGCCACTACACCTACGTTGGACTTTGATGCTTGGAGGTCTCAAGGTGGTGGGTCTAGGGTTCAGGGTGTAGGGTTTAGAGGGTGCTGGAGACTCCTTGGGTATGTCACTAAGTTCGAATGACGCGTCGAGATTCTTCAACTTCTTGTGGTGGTACAAGCACGCACAAAAAGCAGCGCAAGACAAGCATCCTAAACTTTAAGCCCGAACATCCTCAAACTCTAAGACCGTTGAGCCCTAACTTTAACACAGCAGGCACGTGAACAAGCAAGAGCGTGCCCCGATGCGCAACTCAGACATAGACAACTACAGTGCTAGATCGTCCCGAGCCCTCCTGTGGAGGGTGTTAGGGGGTTAGGGTGTTAGGGTGTTAGGGTGTTAGGGTGTTAGGGTGTTAGGGTGTTAGGGTGTTAGGGTGTTAGGGTGTTAGGGTGTTAGGGTGTTAGGGTGTTAGGGTGTTAGGGTGTTAGGGTTTAGGGTTAGGCTTGTTCTGTTGGTGCAGGTGGTGACGCCTGGATGGGAGTGCGAAGGTGGGCCGGCATGGGTTTATTTCGGGCTACCTGAAGTAGGGTTTATATTACTGTTATTGGTGAGTGTATATATGGTTCCTTTTTACTATTGGTGAGTGTATATGCCAGGTGTCCTTTTGGGGGTACAAGAAATATCAGGTATCGAATTGCAAGCTTTGCCTATTCAGCTTCAAGAAATTGCTTGCGTTTCGCAATTGCCTCTGTCAACTTGGTGCAACATGGATCCTGTTGACATCACGTGCAAATTGCGTGGCATCACTAAAAGGTTCATTGCGGCCAAGAGGAGACATGAATGCTTCAAAAAACATTTTCTCAGGGTTATGGAGCTTGCTCATTTAAACGATACACGCCTTCCACACATCCTTTCCTCTGAGTGGACAATGGATTTCCGTTGTCATTTCTGTAAGCGACAAATCTTCTTCTGCTAAGCTCCTGACATGCTTCAATAGTTTTGCTTCAAAGCTGTGCTGCTTGATGCAGGCACTGTCGCTGATTGGGTTCAACGCTTTGATGAAAACATTGCTTCTATCTCCTCTGTCCTTGCGAAGTTTAACCATTGATCGGTAAATTCACGTCCTCGACCTCTGATGTTGTGTGCTTGCTAACCGTGCTGAGTACAAATCTAAGCTGTCTCACCTTGATATGATTCACGACCTCGAGTCCGCAGTACAAGAAATATATACCCTACTTCACCTGGCAGTGGGTAGCCTGCACGAATGGAAGCGCAGCGCGCTAAACCTGGATCCAAGCCCTAATGAAGCCAGCGCCCAAGTCCCCAAAAAGGCTATATCTTCTTGTCTACCCACTGCGACAAGCCCCAAATCCTGCAACAAACTCTCAAAGGCATTTAGGCTCCAGGGCTTAGTTTTACGTATGGGTCAGTCGCAGATCTAACCACACTAAGTCAAGCACACAAGCTCATAACACCACCAAGCCTTAAACAGTCCCCAGCCACTAGGCCAGAACACCTCCTTCAACCACCCCCCGCCCCCCTCCCCCCCCCCCCCCAAAAAAAAAAAAAAAAAGTTTCGAGCCCTAAACCCTACGGACCCTGCACCCCCCCCCCCCCCCCCCCCCCCTAAACCCTAAACCCTAAACCCTCAGTCCCTGGGCCCTGAACCCTAAACCCCAAAAACCATGGCCCATGGGCTAGAAGCCCCAAACTTTGATCCTAAAAAGCCTTCCCCGCCCCCTCTTTTTACGGTTTCTGGGTTTAGGGTCTAGGGTTTGGGGTTTAGGGTTTGGGGTTATGAAAGCACTGTAAACCCTTAAGCCCCTAACCTAAAGCTTAGGGTTTTGGGTTTAAGGTTTCGAGCTTTCCTGGGTTGAAGGGGGTCTCTGAAGCCCTGAAACCCTCAGCTCGTGCGACTCTGGTATCTTATGCGATCCTGGTACAGCCTCAAAAGCCTTCGAACTTATCCCTGTTATGCCTATAAACCCTATAGGCAGTGTAAACTCCTTATACATAAAACCCGATCAACCATACACTTAAAACCCCATACGGCCTCGCCCTAAAACCCCAGAGCCCTTTAACTCCAGAACCCTAAAACCCCAGAACCGTAAACCCCCGCAACCCCAAACCCTAAGCCCCCGAAACCCCCCAAACCCTAAACCCCAAACCCGAAGCCTCCTAAACCCTAAAAACAGCCAAATCCTAAACCCCAAACCCTAAACCCCAAACCCTAAACCCCAAACCCTAAACCCTAAACCCTAAACCCCAAAAACGGCCTCAAGAGGCCGCTGCCGGGCATCCCCGGGAGTTGGGCCCCCCATGTGGACGGACGTGTCCAAGGACGGTGAGGAAGCCCAGAGACGACCGCTGTTTAGGGTTTAGGGTTTGTGGTTTAGGGTTTAGGGTTTCGGGTTTGGGGTTTGGGGTTTAGGGTTTAGGGTTTGGTTTTTGGGGTTTAGGGTTTGGGGTTTGGGGCTTCGGGGTTTTTAAGGGTTTTTAAGGGTTTGGGGTTGGGGGTTTGGGGTTCAGGGTTCAGGGTTTTGTCAGGCTTAGGTTTAATACGGGTTCAGTGTCAGTTTTTACGGCGTTTCAGGAATAAACATAATCAATAAGAAGTGGGGTTCATCCAAACCGGAGGATCCGGAAAGCAGAACCTCCGAAATAGCACCCTCGCGCAGCCAAGCCTTAGCCTAAGTGCTCTCCATGTCTGGGTGCTTTCGGATGTTTGTTTTACAAGAGCTTGTGGTGTTTCTTTGCGTGACATTTCGGGGGGGGGGGGGGGTGCTGGTTGTTGTTGAGATTTTGTGTGGCGGTTTGTGTGTGTGTGTGTGTGTGTTTGTTTGTTGTGTTGGTGCAAGTCATCGTGAAAACATGCAACTTCAATTATTCTAGGGCTTGGGCTTGGGCTTGGGGTTCTACAACTTCTTTTAGGAGGCTGATGCTTCCACAAGTATAGGTCCAGGGCGTTTTTGGAGATGTCGCTTTCGACCGAGTTGTGTGTGTGTGTGTCATAGTTTCCCACGTGCTGGCATCCCCGAAACCCTAAGCCCCAAACCCTGAAACCTAAACCCTAAGCCCCAAACCCTAAACCCTAAACTCTAAACCCTAAAACCCTAAAACCCTAAAACCCTAAACCCTATACCCTAAACCCTAAACCCTAGACCCTAAACCCTAAACTAAAAATCCTAAACCCTCTAAGGCCTAGTTGAGCCCAGGCAGCCCCGGTGTTTCTATGCCCCGGGCCGACCGGTTCCCACGATCAGGCCGCCGAGGGTAGGCGTTTAGGGTTTAGGGTTTAGGGTTTAGGGTTTAGGGTTTAGGGTTTAGGGTTTAGGGTTTAGGGTTTAGGGTTTAGGGTTTAGGCCCTAAACCCTAAATCCTTTAGGGTTTAGGGTTTTAGGGTTTTAGGGTTTTAGGGTTTTAGGGTTTAAGGGTTTAGGGTTTAAGTTGCAAGGTTTAGGGTTTAGGCTTTAACCCTTTTGAGGTTTTTTTGGCTGCGGCTCGGATCCTTGACCAAGTACTTATTCACCAATTGTAACTGTACTTAAAAGGGTTTTAGGGTTTAGGGTTTTTAGGGTTCAGGGTTTAGGGTTTAGGGTTTAGGGTTTAGGGTTTAGGGTTTAGGGTTTAGGGTTTAGGGTTTAGGGTTTAGGATGCCTGTACTTATAACCATATTAGGGCACTTAAGTGGCTGATAAGTGGGTTATAAGTACAGTTATACTTGTTTAATGGGTGCCATGAAGCTCCAAGTACAGCACGAGCCCCAGCGCCTGCATTTCAGGGTTTAAGGCTTCGGTTTCTAGGGGACTCCGGGTTCAGGGTGTTAGGATTCTGGCTGAGGGTTGCACCATCTAAACCCTAAACCCCAAACCATAAACCCGAAACCTTAAAAAACCAAACCCTAAACCCCAAACCCTAAACCCTAAAGCGCTTTGGGGTTTAGGGAAGTTAGGCATCCGAAGACTTTGGCCCCAAGTTTAGCCGTGAGAACTGAAGTGCCCGAATGCACCAACCGTCCAACCCACCAAACCCCAATTTAGGGTCTAGGGTTTAGGGTTTAGGGTTTGGGGTGTAGGGTTTAGGGTTAAGGGTATAGTAAGTAAGACTTGCAAGCACATGTTCAAACTTCTCTTGCGTTGCAAGCCCCGAAATCCCCTCTTCCTGACAAGGCCCAACCCTAAACCCCAAACCCCTAACCTAAACCCTACAACACTAAAACCTTAAGTCCTAAAACCCTAAATTCTCAAACCGCAAATTCTCAAAATCCCTGAAAACCCTAACCCAAACGCTTCAATCGCCCACCGTGGCCGCAGCCGACGCGAATTGCAGCCCTGGTCCGATCTACTCCCTGCCCAACGAGCGAGAGGTGGGTCAGGGTTCAGGGTTTTGTGTTTAGGGTCTAGGGTTTGAGGTTTAGTGTTTCGAATTAGGGTTTAGCCCTAAGCCGGTTTTGGGGTGTGGCAGGAGCTTGGCGTTTCGAAGAGAATGGGTTTGGGATTGTGGGTTGAGGGTTCAGAGTTAGCAGCTTTTCAAGGTCGCCCCAAAGCCTCAACCCTACGCCCCAGAAACCCTGAACCGTGAACTGGGGTCACAGATTTTTACTCCTACTTTCTTCAGAACCCCCCCGCCAAAAAAAAAAACTCCTTGGGTTTGGGTTAGGGTTTACGGTTTAGGGTTTAGGCTTTAGGGTTTAGCAGGTTTAGCACTCTTTACATAGGGTTTAAAAGGCCATCCTAGGTTGAGGGCTCGTCTTCCTACACGCTGGGCTTCCTTAACCCCAAACCCCAAACCCCAAACCCCAAACCCTAAACCCTAAACCCTAAACCCTAAGACCCCCGCAAGAGACCGCGCACAGGCCAAGTACGCAAGGAAGCCACCGAAGAAGGTGGTTCTCAGCGAGAAGAAGGCGGATTCTCAGAGCCACTTCAGGGTTGAGGGTTCTCAGGGTACTCAGGGTACTCAGGGTACTCAGGGTTTAGGGTTTAGGGTTTCGGGTTTAGGGTTTAGGGTTTAGGGTTTAGGGTTTGGGGTTTGGGGTTTGGGGTTTGGGGTCTAGGGGCTTTAGGATTCAGGAAGCCTAGCCCGCAACCAATCCCACCTAACTGCTATCAGCTGGGATTTGCGATAAACAGGGACCTCAAAAATATCTACCCTCAGATGGTCGGATCCCCTTCTAGTAAGGACCCCAATAAGGTACCCCCCAATATGGAAACCCTCAGCCCGAAGCCCTGAGCCCTCAGCCCTAAGCCCTAAACCAAAAACCCTAAACCCTAAACCCCCCAGATGATAAGGAGAAGGTAAAGCCCAAGCCGCCGCCACCTCCTCCACCGTCTGGAGCTCAATTCACGCCACCGTCTCTCGGGAAGTTGTGTGTTTTGGTTTAGGGATGTTTAGGGTTTGTGGTGTAGGGTGTAGGGTGTAGGGTTTAGGGTGTAGGGTTTAGGGTTTTGGGTTTAGGGTTTTGGGGTGCTTGGGATGAACAAAAACAGTAGCCTAAGGCTTAGGGGGGTGGGGGGGGGGGGGGGGGGGGCCTCCAAGTTGGATGTATCCATTATGGACCTTAGCGTACTTGGGTCGGCGATCTGAGATTTTCCGGGCCAATTGGTGCGTAGTCTGATTTGGGGGTTTCCGAAAATCACATATATATATATATATATCTATATTATATAAATATAGAGCAGTGGCCGCATATAGACACCCGCAGCCCTAATTGAGGAACATCTCTTAGTTCAGAACAAGAATCCCCCGATACATCTTGGTAGCCCAGTGGTACCCTTATTCCCTTGTTTTGGTTCAAGGTTCCCTTAAAGAGTATAACCATCCTAAAAGAGGTTGAATGTAGTTACTGGTCTATCAAGTTATTCCACGGTGAAGCAAGTGTTACTTGCTCTCTCTCTCTCTCTCTGGGACTGTGAAAGACCCGAACATCCCAGCATATCCAAGTCTTCCGCAGATTGCTGACTTCTAATCCAGGCCTCCACTGCAGAGCTTGGTAGCTGCATCCAGGGCTTTGGTGAAAACGCTTTTTTTAGGAAGATCCTCAAACCCTCGGTGCAAGCGAGCCGTGGATTCGGAGAGGTGGGGAAACCTTAAACCCTAAACCCTAAACCCTAAACCCCGAACCCTGGGGGTGGGGGAAAGTGGGATTTTGGGGAGGCGGGCGATTGGCAAGCATCAGGACCTGCGGCAAACCTCCGAAGAAGCCGCGCTTCCGCGCCGACCTTGGTCCTTGCTGTCTTCCGAAAGAAAGTAGCGTTTAGGGTTTAGTGTTTAGGGTTTAGGGTTTAGTGTTTAGGGTTTAGGGTTTAGGGTTCAGGGTTCAGGGCTCAGGGCTCAGCGCTCAGGGCTCAGGGCTTAGGGCTGAGGGCTTAGGGTTTCGTTTAGGACTGTGGCCTGAACCCTGAACCGTAGCGACCCTGAGCCTCACACCCTGAGGGCACCGCCTGTTCCTCCAAGCTCCTGTTCCATGCTGTCCCATGATTCGAGAGGATGACTCATCTCAGAATAGGGATACCCTAAACCCTAAACCCTGAACCATCTGCAGCTATAGTCCTTAAAGGTGCTTCCTTGCCATGGACCGCTTCAAGTTTCCTGAAAGCCCGAAAGTCCCCAATTCGCTAAAGTCTTCAAAGCCCTTGGGTTCAGGGTTTAGGATTTAGGGTCTCAGAACCCTAATTAAGGTTACAACCACTTATAACTTTTGCTGCCCACTTATGGCCCCACTCCCTAAACCCTAAACCCTAAACCCTAAACCCTAAACCCTAAACCCTAAACCCTAAAACCTCCAAGTAGCACAGGTATGCACCTGGTTCACAGCCTCTCTGGTGCAAAGCACGGCATGTGGGGTGTGGTGCCCAGGAAGCCAGTGTGAGCAATGCTCCTAAAGTTTGGGTCGAAGCGATGATGCTACGGGTGCGTTTTAGTGTACCCCAAAACCCTAAACCCCGAAACCCCTAAACCCTAAGCCCTCAGCCCTAAACCCTGAACCCTAAATAAGGGGCTAACAAGAGGGACACACGTGCCACGAAGCCCTGACTAAACCCTTACGAAACCCCAAACCCTCAAGCCAGTGGGGCTCCGCAGTTGACTCCTGGTTTAGGGTTTAGGGTTTAGGGTTTAGGGTTTAGGGTTTAGGGTTTAGGGTTTAGGGTTTAGGGTTTAGGGTTTAGGGTTTAGGGTTTAGGGTTTTGGGCCGTAGAGGTTGATGGAGTTTACTAGTCTTCAAGGTCGTAGGCTTGACAGTTTATAGGGTCTGGGTCTAGGGTTTAGGGTTGAGGGTTCGCCGTTTACGCATGCTGCATGGTGGGGACAAGAACAGGCTTTACAGTTTAGGGTCTGGGGTCTGGGGTCTGGGGTTTAGGGTTTAGGGTTTAGGGTTAGCTTTGTACGCATGCTGCATGATCGGCACAAGAATCTCCAGAGCAGCACGCCACAAAAAACTGAAGGGTGTTCCTCCGGAATTTTTGTCTGCGTTTTTCGGCGTTCACACCTAAACCCTAAACCCTTTCGGCTTTGAGGCGTTGGCCGGGGTGTAGGGCTTGGAGGTTCAGGGTTTAGAGCTGTAGGGTTTGGGGAACACGTAGGGTTTGGGGAACACGGAGCTGCGTCTGCAGCCCTGCACCAGCATACGCAGCCCTGGCTCGAAAGTACTTGACACACCAGCAGGTATCAGGGGGGCGGAGCGATTTGTCTGCACTTGTCCGAGGTTACTTCTGATTCTGGCCTTCGCGTTGTGAGCGCTTGGGGTGTGCTTCTTGGGTTGCGTTGGGAAGAAGCGGCGAGAAACACGTAGACGGAGACGTGATGAATAGTCATCATCGGCACCAGTGCATATAGCACAGTTCATCAGTTGCCGCGCTCTGCCGGATGAATTCTAAAGTCTCACAGTCTGCACAAAGCAGAAAACCGACATTGTTTTGTTTCTGTTTAGATGTGCCAGTTGGCAGCTGTTTTGGGAACTGCTCTGCAGTCGTTTCGACCTCTGTGTTTTGTTGTTGCTAGGTAGACCCGGGGACACGTTAGAGTTCTTCTTATTGGGCGTTATTGGGCAGGGTTCAGGGTCTAAACCCTGAACCGCATTTAGGAATATTGTTTCTTGAGTTTGAGATACAAGGCCTCCATAGGAGGCGTTGTTTTCGCCAGGAGCTGTGCAAGCAGCCCGGAACATGAATTTCTGGTCTCGTGTACCTCCATCCCTAAGCCCTAAGCCCAAAATCCTCGTCTTTCCTGTAAGGGAGTGAGGGTCCAGGACTTCACGTCTTAAGCCGCGGCCGCAGACCCTAAAGTTTCGGGCTTACCTAGAATAGACCAACCCTGCACCACCAATGATTCAGGGGCACTTCCTGTTCTCAAGGGTATGAAGGCTACCCCAGGTAGCGCTTAACCCTAAACCCTAAACCCTAAACCCTAAACCCTAAACCCTAAACCCTAAGCCACCTAAACCGTTCACTTCGGTCTCCGTGGCGCTGTGCACAGCTTGGCTGCAGCACGCTGCGAACGCATCAACGCAGGGGGTTTCGCCCGGCATCAGTGCTGCATTATCCATCGCCCGTGTATGGGGTCTCAGAGAATCGATTTAGGGTTTAGGGTTTCGGGTTTAGGGTTTAGGGTTAGTTCAGGGGTTTGGAGTTTGACGAGGGATGAACATACGAGCCCATTGCCGGTAATTGTTTGCTGAGCTTTATACTGTGTATATCAGGGAAGAATGTTGGTAGTCACATAGCTTCCGTATTTTCTAGAGCACATGGGCCTTGGTATTCTTGTGGTTTAGGGTTTAGGGTTTAGGGTTTAGGTTTTAGGGTTTAGGGTTTAGGGCTCCCCCTAGCCACCCCCTCCACTCCACCCCCACCCTCAATCCCTCCCCACCCCTCCCCCTACCCTATCCACTACCCTGCCCGAACATTTCCAGCAGCCCTACCACCCCCTCCCATCCCTACACTACCACATAGCGCCGATACCCAGCTTAGGGGTTAGGGTTTAGGGTTTAGGGTTCAGGAATCGTCTCGAGGCCCCATAGACGCCGCCCTGTCCGACCCACGTCCCATAGGAGACTTTGGTCCGAGGGGCCTTTTTCAGGACTGCGCGAGCCGCCCAGGAAGGACAGCCATAACAATTGCGAGTCGTGCGATGCTCCATCAGCGTTTCTTGGTGGGTTTGTTGTTGAGTTTTTAAAAGGGGGGATTGGTTCGTTTGTCAATTTGCTCGGTCCATCGTCATGACTGTGCCATACCTGTGCCAAAGCAACAGTTGCAGCTGATGGGCTCCCCAGCATGGTTTTGCACAGATCCCAAACGGAACCAACACAAAATTCCCAATCTGATTTCTGGCTCTTCAAGTCCTAGACCATCTTAGACCCTACACCCCCGAGCACCCGTTCAAATTCAAATTGGCGACCTCAAATCTCCGAGTGCCAGACTCAAAGCAGCAACCCTAAGCCCTAAACCCTGAACCCTGAACCCAAACCCCAAACCCCAAACCCTAAAGAATCTCCTCCGCTCTAATACGGATGCTGCCCTGCAGCTGCCGCGTGGATCATGAGGGCACTCGAGGCTGAACAACAGCTCGGACAATTTCGGGTTTCGGGGTGTTAGGGTTTAGGGTTTGGGGTTTAGGGTTTAGGGGTAGGCCGTGGCGACATTTTTTGTCATTTTGCCCTTCTTGGGTTCAAGAGGATAGTCGTTTTAGGAACTTTTTCAAATCATGGGGCCAACCGTTGCTGTTGTAAAACCGTGCGGGAGTAGGGAGCACAAGAATTCGGGGCCCATGAACCACATAAACATACGGATCCCACAGTTGGGGTATACACGGGCCCCCAAAAGGGCGGAATCTAGAAAGCCACGTTGTAGAATTGATGTGGTCTTTTGGGCCCCTAGAGAACTTGCACGAAAGTTTACCCCACGTCCGAAACCCGATCATCTGCGGAGACGTGTTGGGTCAAAGCAGGGGTTTAGGGTTTACGGTTTAGGGTTTAGGGTTTAGGGTTTGGGGCGGGGCTTAGGGTTTAGGGTTTAGGGTTTATAGAAAGCACCTACGTGGTGCCACGCAGGTGCTTTCTATAAACCCTAAACCCTAAACCCTAAACCCTAAACCCTAAACCCTAAACCCTAAACCCTAAACCCTAAACCCTAAACCCTAAACCCTAAACCCTAAACACATAGCAGACTTCTGGACCTTGCCGACCAGCATAAGGCCCGGGCATGCAACGCGCGATCCGCCCCTACCTGAGCACACGCAGTGTAAATGCTACAATGTATGAATGAATCCCAAAAGGGTGTATGGTTCATTTACTCTCATCATACTCTAATCAAGATTATAGTAGTATAGAGAAAATGGCCCCAAAATTGCTACCATTCCAGAGGGTCCATTTGTAGTACTATTATGGAATTAGGTACCCAAAAACCATACTAAATAGGGTTTTGGGGTACCTAATTCCATAATAGTACTACATATGGACCTTCTGGGAATGTATGAATGAATCCCAAAAGGGTTTATGGTTCATTTACTCTAATCAGGATTATACTAGTATAGAGAAAATGACCCCCAACTTTGACCTAGTAGCCCTAATTACCCTTAGCACCCGTAATAACCTTAAAAACCCCAAGAACCCTAAACCCTAAGAACCCTAAACCTTAAATTCTAAACACGTTGTTCTGTAAGGACTCCCCCCCCCCAAACCCTAACCCTAAACCCTAAACCCTACCTGCTAAACCTATTTCGTGGTAATGAGTCCGATTCTGTAGAATTCGTACGAATTCTTTAGGCCAGTTGCATATTGTCACGGCCACGCGAAAATGAGCGTTCGCAGGCGTTCGGGAGCATTCGGGAGCATGCGGACAGTGAGAGGCATTCGCGCGGCATTCGGACGGCGTTCGCGCGGCGTTCGCGAGGCGTTCGCGAGGCGTTCGGAGGCGTTCGGCCTGGCATCCGCGTTCATTCGAGATCGGGAGCGACCAAACGCGATCGCACGCGTTAAAATGCATTCGCCTCCAGGAATATTCTCAATATCCGTACTCTCATTAGTATGGAAAGGGTTTAGCAGGATTATAAACCCTAAACCCTAAACCCTAAACCCTAAACCCTAAACCCTAATTAAACCCTACACCCTACACCCTAAACCCTAAACCCTAAACCCTAAACCCTAAACCCTAAACCCTAAACCCTAAACCCTAAACCCTAAAACCTAAACCCTAAACCCTAAACCCTAAACCCTAAACCCTAAACCCTAAACCCTAAACCCTAAACCCTAACCCTAAACCCTAAGCCCTAAACCTAAACCCTAAACCCTAACCCCCCCCTCCCGGCAACTTAGCGAAGTGCAGGTGGCGCGGCTCCTGCGTCATGGTGCCGACTCCGCGCAGGCGTGCCGGGCCAGACCTGAACCCAAAGCCGTGTTTTTGGGTTTAGGGTTTCGGGTTTCGGGTTTCGGGGGTTTAGGGGGGGGGGGGGGGGGGGGGGGGGGGGGGGGGGGGGGGGAGGGGGTTCTTTTGCATTTTAGGATGTTTTACGTAGCCCAATAGTTGAGCTTTCATTTTTTAGGCTTCCTTCTCTAGTAGGAACCATAAGATCTAGAACACATAAGTCAGATAAGCACGTACACACGTAAAAACTTTCTCTCTCTTTCTCTCACACATGCACCTGATGTCTGTTGTCAGCAGGAAAAAGGCCATTCGCCCTTCTCTTCTTTGCACTGCGGGTCCCTTGTTCATCATGCTCACAGTTTTTTTAGGATTTAGGGTTTAGGGTGAAGAGTTTAGGGTTTAGGGTTCAGGGCTTCTGTTATAGAATGCAGGTACACGTCCGAGCGTCCCCGAATGCATCCACTGACCTGCCATAGCTTGGTTGGATTTGTCAGGCAAAGGAGCTCTAGTCCGCCCGCGGGCAAAATCCTACTCCCTTGGAAACAGGCCTTGTGCGCATGCACACACACACACAGACACGCAGACACGCAGACACGCAGACATGCAGACACCCAGACACACAGACACACAGACACACAGGCACACAGGCACACAGACACACAGACACACAGACACACGCACACACACACACAAATACAAACACAAACACAAACACAATCACAAACACAAACACAAACACAAACACAAACACACACGCAAACCCAAACACAAACACAAACACAAAAACAAACACGAACACGAACACGAACACGAACACGAACACAAGCACAAGCACAAACACAAACACAAACACAAACACAAACACAAACACACCCACACACGCACAGAAGCAAAGAGCAAGCGCAGACACACGCGCACACACACACACACACAAGAAAAAAAAACGAAAACGTACACAAGCACAAGCACAATCACTCACCATCACAACCACCACCACAACCACAAACACAGACACAAGCACAAACACAAGGCCCGTCTTGCATGCAAGCGGGTGCGCGCGCCATGTGCGGAAGAGTACGTGTGTCGCAAATCTGGCACGAAGTCCTAAGGCTTACAGGCCCCAAAAATTTTGAGCATGAGGGCCACTGATTCCTAAATATTAGGGTTTGGAGAAATGCAGTCAAAACTCATCTCTGTCATGTCGAGTAAAGCTTCAACCTTCAACCTACCTCTCTAAACCCTAAACCCTAAACCCTAAACCCTAAACCCTAAACCCTAAACCCTAAACCCTAAACCCTAAACCCTAAACCCTAAACCCTAAACCCTAAACCCTAAACCCTAAACCCTAAACCCTAAACC